CGAGCTATAAGGAAAAAGCTATAAAGAAAAAGCTCGCTCGCTCCTCATCGCGCGCGATATTCAGTATTAAGTTTACAGTGTTTTGAGCTCTGAAAGCGTCAAGAAACGAAGAAAAAAGCTGACTGTTCCTGCAGGTAAAAGTGTTAGCACTGAAGATATAGAAGACAAAAACAACAATAAAGGTTTACACGCTGCTTCTGGAAGCAAAGTTAATGCTGAGCAGAATAAGAGAAGAAAGAAGAGGACACTTATCACAAAGACCAAAAAGTCAAAAGCTGAGTCTGAAGAAGAGGATCCAGATGATTTTTCCTGCCATGATGACAGTTCCACTCTAGAAACATTCAGTGATTTGGAAAATGACTTAAGCAACCGAGAGGAAGACAGTAAGAAATCTAACTCAAACAATTGAACACCAGTAAGAAGAGAAGAAAATGAATTCGTTGTCTTCACTTACGAAGGAGAACTTTTTCCTGGACAAATTACAAAGGTCAAGAAAAATGGCGCAGTCGTAAAATCAATGGTGAAAACTGGAAAAGCATGGAAGTGGCCCGACGGATGTGAAGATATATTATACTATGAATGGAATGATATTCTGTCTCATATCAAAGAACCCAAGAAAGTTAGCAAAACTAGAGAACTGTACAGAGTGCTTGAATTGGACTTCCAATGGGGCTAATGAACTATTTTCTTATTGTTCAGAAATATCTTTTTTCCATTTTTTTATTTTAATTTTAAGTTGATTTTTGTTTTTTTCACTGTGCCTCTATTACATGAACTAACATTTAGTTCATTACCTACCAACTTATTTTGTGTTGAATGATATGGATTTACCATAAGATTGCATTAAAAGTGTTAAATACGAAAAGTAGGTATGATATATTAATGATTATCCTTTCTACTTTAATGATTCTAGGTTTAAATTAATGGTAACCATTTACTGACAAAATAATGAGGTTACTTTGCACTGATCCAGACTAACTATAAGAATTGTATAGATTTTTCAATACGGTGCAAAGTAACCCCATGCCTGGGTAACTTTGCACAAATTTTCAAAAATCTGGAAAAATTACTTAGAAAATTTTTTTAAATATTTTTAAGATAAAAATCTGTTTCTTACATCCTTAAGCAATGATTACCATGTTTACATAAATTAAATGTTGATACAATGCTGATTTTTCACATAGGGAATTAGAAAAGGTCAAAATGTTGTGCAAAGTATCCCTGGTTTACGGTATTTTTACCTAGTTAACAAGACAAGGTCGAAATGACGTAAAAATTACGTAATTTTGATGACGAAGACGTCAGATGACTTAAATGGAACGTAATTTTGACGTGATTGTATATACCAAAGTAATACGTCATTTATACGTCGAAAAGACATATTTCTAACGACCAATAGAAAGTACCGTTTCCGAACGTACTCTGCTGTACAGTAGTGCAACTACAAAGAACAATCTCAAAATGGCTGTTCTCCTTACCCGCTAATATTGGCCTTCTCGTCCTTAATTATTCAGACGTCCGTGGTGCAAATAAATGTTTTACACTTTTTATATAAAAGTTTACAAGTTGCATGTATTTCAATACTAATGTAAGATAAGGTGAGGATATATTTCAATATTATCTTGATTAATCTTTAATTAGATTATTAGAGATGTGAGGTTATATTGTAATGTACACGTATGTAAAATATTTACTCATTATTTATTTACATAAATCTCGTACAATATTTTATATTGTTTATATATATATATATATATACATATATATAGATGGCATTCGTAGGAATCAAATTGGAAATCGAAGGAAATGACGATAATAGTTTAGCCATTATTCATTCGCAGTGGCTAACACCAAGAAAAGGCGAACTGTTGTGGCCACCTGTTAAAACACAGGATAATTTCAATAAATTATTGAGAAAGGGAGAACATCCTACAGAAAAATGGAATATACAAAGTGATTCAAAACAACCTTCCATATTAAAAGTATAAAACCTTATTAAAAGTATAAAATCCTGATAAAATTCTAAAACAACTTTTCCTCTTGCAAAATTTTGGCAAAAGTTTAGATTTTAAATTATTAACAAAAATAATAGACCTATTGCGGGTCGGGTACGGGAAGTAGACAGGTGCGGCGCAACTCACCGTCAGACGTGGGCGCTAACGCGGAGTACCTGCAGCAATCAGCTGATCACACTACACATATTATACACTAGCTACGTTCCAATATTCATTGCCAGCATAAAAATCTGTATTTTCTGTGACGTTAGGTGATTGTTATAACTGGCAAAAATTTTGAAAAACAGCCAGGATTGTACGCGCACACACACGCAAGCACGTTCTCGGTCTCTCCGAGTCTTTCTGTCTCTTTCTCACTCATTCACTCGTATTCATTGCACGACCAATGCGAAGCGGCGGTCGTGCGTGGTGGGGGATGGACCAATGGACATCCCGCGACGATCGTATAAATGCGTTGAAACAATCGATGCGTTAATCAATAATCCTGCGGTTATTGGAAGCGTTAACGTCAAGACGATATGGCAGCATACACGAACGAAGAATATTATGACATGCTATTGACACTCGGAGCCTGTCACGGCCAGGTCGCCGCTGCTGCTCGAAAATACGCCGAGCTGTACCCCAACCGAACAAGACATCCGTCACACCACGTTCCAGATACAAAATACAGATTTTTATGCTGGCAATGAATATTGGAACGTAGCTAGTGTATAACATGTGTAGTGTGATCAGCTGATTGCTGCGGGTACTCCGCGTTAGCGCCCACGTCTGACGGTGAGTTGCGCCGCACCTGTCTACTTCCCGTACCCGACCCGCAATAGGTCTACTATTTTTGTTAATAATTTAAAATCTAAGCTTTTGCCAAAATTTTGCAAGAGGAAAAGTTGTTTTAGAATTTTATCAGGATTTTATACTTTTAATAATGGAAGGTTGTTTTGAATCACCCTGTATATAAAATAAGAAAAATTCTCTTTATAACCGGTAAGTAGAACAATATAAATTTACATATAAACATTGTTTTTATTGCTGTCCTATGATTTTAGAGAATTTTGAAAAAGTACAAGAAAAAGTAGACAAATATCAATATACATCAGACATCGGGACGGATGAGAATGAAATTATTACAAAAAAAGAACAGTGAATAAACCAAAAAGATATATAACAGAATCTGAATCGTCTAATGAAGAACAAACAACTATCAGTAAAAAGATATCTCCTAGACCTCTTATAATTGTCAAGGACAATGTATGTAATAATATAACCAAAGTGGGTGCAAAGGATAAATTTGTACCTTCAACATCATCTTCCATAAGTCATAATCAGGAAGTGGCAGCAAATACGGGAGGAGAAGTCGGGGAGGAAGGGAGTACAGGTAATATTGACAATTTACTTCTACACTATGGTACTCATTATTTATAATATATACTCCTATAATATATATGTATATATATTTATATAATCCTATTTTAAAATATATGTACAGAGAATTCTTCAAATGCATTAAGCATAGTTCTTTTACGAACCGTTGTCTTTGTTAAACAACAATATCGACAAATAATACAACAAAACGAGGAAATTCTGCAGACAATAAAGGGAAAGGGATGTCTTGAAGGCCCAAACTTTCAAGAGCCAAACTTACCTGTACAACTTCCATTAAAGGATTTTGAAGACGTGACTCTGCTTGATACTTATTTAACAGATAACGGCAATTTTTCCGAATTGGTATGTTTGTACGTGCACACCAAGTGTTTAACAAAGCGTAATATCTAAATAATAATATATTTTAAGATATCATATTTATCCACATTGGGAGACCATAGCATTACTTCAACAAACGGCATTTTAAGAAAGATATTTACAAATGAACTTGCATCTCATTACAGTTTTTTTGGTAGCAAAAACAATAAAAAGGCATTTTCATCGACAAATTTAAACCGCGCAGTAATTAGTAAGTTTCTTTTAATTTCTTATTGTACTTTCTATTTATTTTTTATCACGGCATTTCATTATCTAATGGCGAATTCGGTTGGCGTGCTCTTACTCCGTGCCAGTGGCTAGTAACATTTTGTTACTAGGCGCACGTGCTCGGAGTGCGTATATGTTTGTACTGACCTGAGTGCGGTTACTTGCATTACACTGAGTGCGTTAACCTATACTGACCCAACTCAGTGGAGTTAGTAACTTCTTCAGTGCCTACATGTGCACGCGAAATAGAAACGTTCTTCTTTCTCCTTTGGTCTCAACAAAAGCCGAACTGTAATAACAACCACTATTTCACAGTTCTAACATTTCAGAATAAAAATATTATATTAACGACGTAAAGAAATATCTTTATAAAATGGAAAAAGTAGATATGTAAACGTGAGAAAAATGTAGAGAGGTAAAGATATGTTACATTGTTAAAACAAAATAAGTATATGTGTAATATTTCTATGTTCACATTATTTTATTTATAACATTTATTATATATGATATTTTTGTATAACTTTAGCTTTTTACAGTTATCTTGTAATTCTTTATATTATTACAGATTTGAAAATGGAGGCTACTAAAAGTAAAAACGAAGTAACTGCTTGGTGTGATGCAAGTACACGCTTGTTATTAGATAAATACGAGCAATATTTACCTTTAATTGGGCCTATGAAACAATTTAAATGTAAAAAATCAATGTGGATACAAATATCACAAGATATTCTAACAGAATTGAATATTGAACGAAACGCAGTGCAATGTGAAAATCGTTACAAGACTATTTTGAAACGTAAAGCTCAATCTACGAGAAATAATCAGCAGTCGGGTGCAAAAGGGGTAATGGCTCCTGCACACAGGACGCGGAAACGCTTGCCGCGCGGCGGAAGTCAGCACGGTAGCCAATCAATCTCTTACTTTTGCGGAAAGAGTGTATATATATCTTCCGCCGCGCGGAAAAAGTTAAAGTTGATTTAACTTTTCCCACGCGGTATAGCTATTTGTAATGTATCTTTTACATATCGTAAAGTAACCATAGAGATGTAAGATATTTCTATAGAAGTAACGTAAGTCAACGTATGTTCCGCCAACGAATATTTTATAACTCTGGAAAAGAAAATCTAATTATGGAGAATGAAATGGATAATATTGAAGTTGTAAGTAAAAAAAAAATATTTATATATTAATGAATATTCATAATTATAGTACAGTATATGATGAAAGAACTGATTTTATGATTGATGTTTTTTATAAGGTTATGTGAAACAGGTATAGGTTAATTATTATATTTATTGTAAAGGTAATTATTATATGTAATTTTGTTGCGTATGTATAACTTAATTTTTATTTTCAGTGGTGCAGGGATTGCAATAATATAATAGATATTACAGAGGAACATGATTGCCCTATTTATAACAGTAACAATAGTGATATTAACACAAAGAGCAAAAATGATTATATCGAAAAATTAATTACTGAAGTATTCGAAAGAGAACCTTTATGGAACTCGTCCCTGCCTTATAAGTTCAGAGGTCCATCAGATATAAAAGTATTATGGGCTGAAATAGATAATTGTTTAGGTAAGAATGAATATATATGCGTATGTTTATTCAACATATATTAATATGTAAAAATTGAAGAGTATATATTTCTAAAAATATATATGTATATCTATGTAGGTACAACTGCTGGTACAAGCCAGATAAAGTGGAAGAATATAAGGGACCGTTTCGTAAAAGAGCATGCTTTAGAATGTGCTTATATCCCAAGTGGTAGTGCAGCTGTAAAAAAGAAGAGTACTTGGTCATTTTATGAAAGTTTACGTTTTCTGACACCAACAATAAATTATAGAAGGTATTTATAGTGTGATTTTGATAAACTACAATATATAGATGTATATACAGATACATATATAAAATATGGAACTATTGATACTATATAAAATAACATATAATACATAATAAATCATTGGAATATTTCAATTTAATGATTATATTAATTATAATAATAATAATGACAGTATATCATCATATATAACGAAATAATATTAGTTAATTTTAATTTAATTGGAAACTGTATTTTAGGACAAAAAGTAACATTGAAAATATAGATCCAACTGTACCTTTAGCTTCAGCAAAAAAAGAATCAGATGAATCCATTATTTCACTTATTTCTGGACCAAGTACCAGTACAGAAAAAGAAGATAACATTTCGCACAAATCATTATTACATAATAGAACTTTATTAAAACCACAATTAATGTATCCGAAGAAGAATTACTGTAAGCAACTATACAACGATTAGTTATTTTTTTTATTCTCTGCATATTTTATTTAAAATTCTATTTTGATTTTTTTACACAGCTTTCACACTTTCATACACATTAGATTCAGATAGCTGTGATATAAAAAACAAAGCTTTTGAAGAATCAATGTGTAGAACAAAAGGCACCAGTACGTATATATAAATTATTAAATGTAATTATTTTGCGTGTTGTAAAACGTTCTGTTACGGTACAAAACAAGATTTGTTCTGGGTATTTTGCTTCATTCATTTTTATCTGCAAAACGTTTTTGTTGATATATAAGAAATATTTTCTTTATTGCATGTAATACAAAAAAAAACAATATTTATTTTAACAATTTTAACAGAAAAAACAAAGATAGTTAAAAAAAATGATACAAGTTCTCTTTGTGAAGAAGCTATTTTGATGGAATTAGTACGAACGAGACCAGCAGATAAACCTCATACAAAACCTGATGAAATTGAATGTTTCACAAAATATATTGAAGCATGTCTGCGAGGGATGAGTGCAGATAACTCAAAACGTATTAAAAATATAATATTAAAACTTATCGCAGAGGAAGATATGTAATATGTTTGATTTCAGTATTCTGTTTTATTTTAATATTCGATGTTTTATTTCAATATTCTATATATAGTTATGTTTTATTGTTTTCTTTTTAATATTTGTTTGTGTGTATATGTATAATTGTTAAATGTCACTAAATGACAGTTATGTTGTGCAATATATTATGCATTACACACACAAATACACGATATTACGTACTTAATACAAAATTAAGATTTGTCTGACATATAAAATAATATTCTTGTAAATCAGGATAATTTTTATTTTAGAAGTTACATTTTATGTAGATTGTGGTTACTAGTCTTAATAAAATACGAACATATATGTATATAAATGTATAATCTTTATTTTTGAATTAATACACAAACTTACAATATGATAACAATCTCTTGCCTACATAATATCTTCTTGCCAAGGGATTTTTCCCTCGTTCATAAAATACTCTGTAAAAATTGTCCGAATTTCACCAGCTTGTCTAGTGTAGTTATTATTACCAAAACTTTTATTCCTGTAATTATCACTATTGACGTGTTTTTGTCTCCATTCTCCTTCAATTATTTGGCCATTTGCTAATAATTGATCAGCATAATTTCCTCCACAGTAATTTGAAGTACTCATTAATAAATTATGCAAGCAGACTGTTGCTTTTATTATTGCATCACTTGTTACAAGACTGGTGTTTAAAGGTTTCTGATAAATACGCCATCGAGTAACTAATATTCCAAACGCATTCTCAATAACTCGTCGAGCTCTACTTAATCTATAGTTAAATATGCGTTGTTGTTTTGTTAAATTTTTCGATGGGTATGGTCGCATTGTAAATGAATTCAACTGAAATGCCTCGTCAGCTACAATAACATATGGAACATTATGGGTGCGTTCGGGGAGCACGCTATCACGCAACAAACGCTAACGCTGATAGATGCGTTCGGAGAGACTATAAGCAGCTTACGCTTTCGAGCTGCTCGAACGTCACTTGAGTGAATTTATCGTTACAATATGGCTGATGTTGGTGCAAATATGGATAACCAAAAAAGAAAAAAATTATTAAGTGTTTTAATTTAATTTTTTAATTTTTAATTTTAAATTTTAATTTAATTTTTTAATTTTTTAATTTAAAAGTAGGACGTCGGAAGAAACTGCCAAGATTACAAAATTATGTGGAAGAGGTGATACCTAGGTGGAAAGATCAAGAATTTTAGGTAATGATAAATTATCTTTAATTAATTTTCAAAGTTCTATACATATATCATAGAATGGTGAACATATTTCACATTATGTATTTATTTATGGTAGCTCAGTAAATATTGCAGCAAAGTAAATGCAATATGTATTTTATTACATTTACATTGTTACGTGAGAAATTATAACATAAATGTAATGTAATGTAATGTAATTTTTCAATAATGTCATTTGAAATTTCAACAAAAAGTGTTTAGTATAGTGATATTCGGTATTTATTGGAAAGAAATTAGCTAAATTTTTCTATTAGCATATTCGACTGGACTTGGGTTCACCCATGCTGGGTTAAATAAACCCAGCTTATTGATCGAATATGTACTATATAGTATAGTATAGTATACGTTCGACTAATAAGGCCCAGTTCCACAACTTACTTTAAACGAAGTTTAAAGCTAAACCGATGGTTAAAAGCAATAGTATATGCGCATATACTTTATGGTTAAAATTGCTTTTAACCATCGGATTAGCTTTAAACTCCGTTTAAAGCAAGTTGTGGAACTGGGCCTAAGTTGAGTTTATGTAACCCAGCATGGATTAACCCAGGTCTAGTCGAATACGCTGTATGTCTGTACTAATTTTAGTTCTACACACTTCTTATCTAGAATATCCAGAGACACTTTTGAGTTTGTACTCTTGATAATTGCCCCAAAACTTAAGAGAAAATATCCAGGGTTAGGAATGATCTCCCCAGAGAAACAGTTTTTTATTGCTATTTGGCGAATGGCTACACCAGATTCTTACAGGTTAGTACATTATATCTAATAATAAGACCTACTCAAGGTAATGTTGCATTTTTCATTCATAAGTTTTTTAATCCTAGATCAATATGTGAAAAGTTTGATGTGAGTCGATCAACAGCCTTATTAACAACACGTCGAGTTACCAAGATACTTGCAGATTTAGCACCAGTATTAATTAAATGGCCAACAGGCAATGCTATCCAAGACAGGATTTGAAGTAATTAGTTCCTTCCCTAAAGTCATAGGAGCTATCGATGGTATTCACATCAATATCCCATCTCCACATATACATCCAGAAGCCTATGTTAATCGGAAAGGTCACCATTCCATTCAGCTACAAGTTTGTAATATGTACTTAGTATATTAAATGGAAGAATTTATCCTCCTCACTATATTGTATATATTGAATATATCGTACTATTCTTCCAGGGGATCTGTGATCACAAAGCTCGTTTCACGCACTGCTATATTGGACATGCAGGTTCTGTGCATGATCAACGCGTTTTTCGTCAATCAGAAATTCAAGATGCATTGGGTAACCCAGAAAAATTTCCTGATGATTCCCATTTACTTGATGATGCTGCATATAAAATTCATGATAATTTAATGGTTCCATATCGTGATAATAGTCATTTGACTGAACGACAAAAAAATTATAATTTCTGCCATTCTTCAGCACGAATCGCCATTGAAAGAGCATTTGGTACCTTGAAAGGTCGATTTAGAAGTTTATTACACAACCATGAATCGGACTGACTTAGGCCAGTATTCATAGTCAGGTCTTATATTTAAGACCGTCTTAAGTTCATTTTCAGATACCCCATAGCCAATGAAATGATTTGTATAGCATCTGAAAATAAACTTAAGACGGTCTTAAATTTAAGATCCGATTATGAATACCGGCCTTAATTGCTCATTATATACTTGCTTGTTGTGTTATGCATAATATTTGTATACTAAGAAATGATGATTTTGACATTGTTTTATTAAATAATGAAGTAGATAATGATATTCCTCGTCAAGTTGCTGCAGATGATACAACAGGTGTTCTGAAAAGAGACTTAATTAGCCAAAGACTTCCAATAAGACTCATATAAATCTTAAAACAGTTCTAATTTTGCTAGGAATGCAATGTATTTTTTATTTTAAAGAAGTTTACAAGTTATTATCTTTTATACTTTTGTAACATAGATATAAACTAATATGTACATGTTTAATAAAATTAAAATAGTATAACATATAAAAGAATTCTTTATTTATTTTTACAATAGTATTATATTTAAAAATTGCCATTTCCGTGTTACTTCTAAAATAATAAGTACATCCTCTTCGTTATTAATGCATTTAGGACAAAAAGTAAAAGAATAAAATGAAAGATACATTTTGTTATTGATATTAGTTTTATAATAGTTTATAATTAATTTTTAACACATACAATTACTCCCCTCGACAGAATAAACATAAAATACTTTGTATTGTCTTGAAGAATAAAAATAAAAGCAAGTTATATATGTAATATTGTTGGTTACATATAAAGAACTAATATCACCAACCCTGCTTAACTTAATCGGTCGACCAAGCATTAATATTAATTAATCATTCCCTTCGACAAAATAAAAATGAAATACTTTGTATTGTCTTGAGGTACAATAAAAATAAAAACAAGTTACATATATGTAACACTGTATAAGTAATACTAAGTATAATGTAATACTTAGTTATACATAAAGAACTAATATCACTAACTCTGGTTAACTTTTTCGATCGACCAAGCAGCAAAATTAATGAACCAATTTATTTTTCTGATCAATATGATTGATTAATTTTGTTATAATAGACTAATTAAGTTAACTGAATGTAGTAATTCTGTTCCACATAACTTTCATCAGAAATATTTACCAAACATTTTAATTGTTCCAACATAGAAAGAAAAATCTTATTTTATATATCAGTGTTCTTAACATTAAGTATCACTTATACATTTAATCATTATTCAATTTATCACAGATGTACACAGGAAGTTATTAATCTCTTGCTATTATAACTGTTATTTGTACGATTTTCACAACTTTATGCGTTGCGTCTATGACTATGTTTACGTAAGAACTTTATCTAACTAATTAACTATATTATAAAAATATGTATCTATAGGCATAAAGTTGAAAATCGTCAAAATAATTCAAATTACAATGGGAAGACATTAGTGAATACTTATGTGTATAAACTTAATATTAATTATTAATATTAAAAAATAAAGCAAATTTTAAGAATATGTTTAAAATATTAAGGAAGACAGAACGCAGTATAATAGATGTACCAGCTACTATACTATATTTTACAAAACTAAATAAAATATTAATTGTACTAAAAGAAGTAAACAAGAAAATAAATGGTACATGTTTTATCAAAAACAAAGGAAACAATCTTATAATTTGTACTACAACTTCGTTTTATCTTTGTTGCATGTAAATTAAAATAAAAACATTTATAATTTGTCTAAAATTTTACCCATGAATTTTAGCATTTGCTTTTCAAAGTCCATGTTTTCTTTGTGCCTCTGATCACTATTGTTCTCAGCCAATTTCCGACTTTGTAAAATTGATTCAGCAATGTTTGATGTACTTTCTTGTGCCTTGCGCTTCTGACAATTTGAATAGCTTAAATTTTTATTACTTGAGTTTGCATTGTTACATATATTTGCATTTGATAAGTTAGATTCTCTATTAGATCTAGAATTAGAACACATACTGCTTGAAGAGGCTATTGCTGGAGACGACATAATAGGTCGTTCACCAAGCAAAGATTCCATGACTTCCATATAAGGCCATGTTCTAAGATTATTCCCTGATTTGCTATTGTGATCTTTTATAGATTTATAAGTTCGTTTCATTCCGTGAAATTTTGAAAGACATTGAGGTTCAGTGACATTATAGCCTTTAACAAATAATGCTGATGCAATATTATTCCATACTTTTTTCTGGGATATTTTACCCGATACAATGTTATTTTTTTGCAGCCGATACTTTTCTACCAGCAATAGAATTGCCGCATGAGACCATTTAAACATTGATTCATTATTATCCTCAGAATTGGAAGACTCCATTGACAGACTTGCTGCATCAAAATCTGAATCTTGTGATTTTGCTCTTTCTAGAAGATAAGTAGTAAATATCGTATCTAAAAGAATAACGAATAATATCTATATATTAAAGGAGACATAAATCAATCACACTCTTTTATTATAATCTAATTTATTAATTTCCATTATATCAACTGATCTATCTTCTATACTTGGATAATTATTAGCATATAGAATACTTATATAACCTCTGTCATCATAATTACCATTTTCTGCACGCGCTGCATCATTTGGCGATACTTTTATTGTGTATGTCACATCGTTTTCATCTAAAAGATGAATTTCGACATTTTCAGATATTTAACTAAGTGGTTGAGCCATTGTGAATAGTTTCTCACAGTTTAATAAATTGTCTTTATTTGACTTTTGACGCAATTGGTTTGTTCTTTCTGGTTGCACTGTTGTAATTGGTTGAAAGAACAGCAGTTAAAAAGAACAGATCATAGACTAACACTTTAAAGCACAATCGAACGTTCGAGGAAAGAATAAGCGCCAATTAGCGCTAATAGCATTTGCTGCCCTACCTCGAAAATGATAGCGAAAAATTGCGCGAATAATGACGTTACGCTGCTTTGAGAGTGATGTCATTATCGATTTTATAGCGCCACAAAGCGTCTCCTCGAACGGTCTTAGATACTTATTGTGCGAATAGCGTGCTCCCCGAACGCACCCTATGTCTGTTACTAATAGCAGAAGAATCAGGCAAATACATATTATTGTTATAAAATCGTTGTCCCATAGCTGAATTTTTAAAAATTCCTCCGTCACTATGCCTTCCTTGAGCGCCAATGTCCACAATTAAAAATTTGTACGTTGCACTCACTAACGCCAATAACACTATGCTGTGGAACCCTTTATAATTATAATAAGTGCTCCCTGCTTTCTTAGGACACTATGGAAATAATATTTATTAATATTTATGAGATATGTAATTAAAATTTTTACGTATATATTTTAATATAATCTTACAATTATAGATACGTGCTTCCCATCCAAAGCACCAATACAATTTGGAAAGTTCCATTTATTCTCAAATTCATGAGCTATTTCTTGCCACCCATTTGTTGTTGGCGTAAATAATTCTTCTTTATGTAGACAACTCCATATAGCAGCCTCGCAAGTTTCTCTTATAATACACATCGTAGTACTTCTTCCAATTCTATAGCTAAGTGAAATACTATGAAATCCATCTCCACTTGCCAAATAACTAAAAATAACAAAATTAATTTATTACATGTTATATAAGAATAAGAACATTTCTATCTATTATTTAATATAAATACAAGAGACAATAATATTTAGATTAAATAAAGTTATTATAAATCTACTTACCGTATAGTCATTGACAATCGTGCAGCTGGTGAGATAGGTTTTCTCCAATGTGTTTCCATTTTTGTTATCGTAGGTCCAACTTTTGATAATAAATATTCAAACATACTAGGTGTCATCCTCATATAAGTAAAATATGTATCATCATCTTGTAAAATCATTTCGCGGACTAAATTGTGCCAGTCTCCTTACTGTTGCTTCAGTTTGAGTATCGGGTGTACCCAATATTTTCGCTTACAAGGGACATTCGGCAATGCGGAAATTCAAAAAAATCTGAAACTCTGCATAATTGTAGAGCAGATATACCTAATAACAAAACAATTTTTCGTTGGTGCCCAAAAACGGTTTTAAGAGTGGAAACAACCCCTTGAACAAAGTTGATTTTTGTCTTTCTAAGCGAATATTATCGAAACTATTAAAGATATGAAAAAATGTTTTAGACAAAAGTTTTATGGTTTTAAAAGTACTTTATTATGCTATATTTAGATTTTTTAAAAATGTAAAATTGTGTATAAAATACCCCCCCTCCTTCTCTTTTTTCAAATTGTTAAAATCAATTGTCCAACCAAAATAAAGCTTATTTTATGACAAATTCAACCATATATAATAACATTATGTTTGGAAAAGGCAATATTGAAAAAAAAATTAAACATGCTCTTATATGTATGCTACGCGTACCAAACTTAAGGATTCGCTACTTGACGATGGCATTTCTTTCTTCCTCAAATCTTCCTCATAATTGCAAACTGTAAAAGATAAGGAAGGAAGAAAATAGAAAATCTAAAAAAGCAATAAAGTTGATGTTAAGAAGTAAGTTGAAGAAGAACAGCATGATAAGGAGGACGCAGAGAGAGTGTATATAACCCTAATATAGATAATCTTTTAAATTCAATATTTCAGTTTTGGAGGGTTCACTGGAAAGTTCCTACATTAAAATATTTGGAGACGAAGATCATTCTTCGATAATATTCCAACAGGATAATGCTCCATGTCATACATCTAAAACAACGAGAGATTGGTTGATAAAAAACAATATCCGAGTTTTGGATTGGCCTGCACAGTCCCCTGACTTAAATCCTATTGAACATTTGTGGTCAATATTAAAGAGAAGGATCAAGAGTATCATTGCTAGAGAATTTAAAGTTCGTTTTACGCCAAGAATGGGAGAACATTACTCCTGCTGAATGTAAAAAATTAGTGTATAGTATGCCAAAAAGAGTACAAGCAGTACTGAAAGCTAAAGGAGGAGTAACAAAATATTAAAACTGCTATGAAAATAAACATTATTTTTCTATAAAATTGTTTCTTATAATATATTGTTGTTTGTTAACAAGTTTAAATTATTTTTTCGGAGTGCTTTATATTTATGGCCAAGGCTGTATATATTTGAATTGCTTGCCGCTCTACGCTTGTTCAAACGCAGTACAACATTGTCAAGCGTTCGCTCTCTTTCTCCTCCATGTCCCCATCACGTATTTCACGCTCTGAAATTTCGTTAAATCCTAAACTTTACCCTTCAATATCTCGAAAACGGAGACTAAACTTTTTGATTTTTTAATATAATATTCTTAATAGCATTCTGAGTTATATATTAGTTTTTTGTACAAATCTGACAGAGTGTTTTTTTTACAATAACTCGAAACGTCACTTTCATGGCACCTCAGTATAGGGAATACGTGTTGAAAGTGACAACTTTAAAGATTTATATCTCGAGTTCTGTATGGCTAAGATGCCTGAAATTTTAACTGTTTGTAAATAATGATATAATGAATTTATAGTCAAAATTTCAAGACATTCTGACACAACTTGATTTTCTCGACAACTCCCTTAAATGTATATTTTATCATTAACCTTGAAAATCACGTCATGGACAGTGATGGGAATCATAGCCTTTTGACACATCTATGCACAGATACTTTTCAATCTGTGGGGAGGGAGAAGCTCGATTACATTCAGTTTATCGTAAAAATATTGCTATTTATATCGCACGATAAACTGATTGTAGGCTGAGCACACAGATAGAAAAGTCTCTGTGGCGTAGGTGTGCCAAAAGGTCAAACCCCACAAAAACATACGTGAATTCCATGTGGAATGCACGTTGTATTCACGTGAAATCCACAAAATCACATGGATTTCACGTAGACACAACGTTCCTGTTTCCGTGGGGAAGATTTCCATCACTGGTCATACCCAATGAGAAGGGGACTTGAAATCTAGGTAGATTTACGTTAATAGTTTACTTAGGTTAAATATGTTCAATGCAAGTTAAAATAAAATTAATCTGAAGTAATTTATTTGCAACTTTGTTAATATAGTTTCACAATGTCTTGTGGGTATTCAATTTGTCAGCAATACTCATGAAGAAGGTACAATTGCATTGATTCATCGATCATGGTTTACGCCTCTGAAAAGTCAAGTCTGGTGGCCTCCATACAAGACAAGTGTTCAATTTAAAAAAGCACTGTTTACTGAAGAATAAGTAAACGAAAATACATGGGTATTGTATGAGGTGAAACGTATATTTTTTACTTGTGGTATGTATTTTATGTATAACATTATACTCGTTTGTTATTTGTACAATAATATAAATATATTTCAAAGTATTGTTATTTATATACAGATGAATTTGATAAGGCCTTTAAAAAACTAAAAGAATGTGAAGAAGTGTCTGATTTACAATCTACTGAAGTAGAAGATGACGTACAAAGTAAGAAAAGAAAACGCAAACCAAATTTAAAATATATCATAAGTAGTGAAGACGAATACGATGAAAACTGTGATTCTCTACAGCCATCAGCAAAACCTGATAAATCAGGTGAGACAAACATAATTTACATTTATAAGGATAAGAATATTATCATTGTTCTTCCCTTCATTTATTCTTATACTATGTATGATAAAATATTATTCACGTTTCATGTTACATATGTTTATATATGTTACATATGTTATATATGTTAAAAACATATCCTTTTTTAAGTATTGAACTTCAAGTATTGAATAAACGCATAAAAATAACATGTCAAAATAACACACTCAGATTTGCGTTGTATCGCGATTATATCTAGGAATCAATTTTATGCCGAGTATCGTTGGTGCACCATTGACAACGATGGTCCTCTTTTCGCAATTGTACGACACAGAACTTTCAGTTCCTTCTGTCGTTAATATATCACTGACAAGAATTACGATATAAGACAACAATTTATGCATGATATATGGTAAAAATGTTTGGTCCATGATACAGCTTGCAAATGAAATATGAACGATACAGAGAAATATTAACTGAAAATATTAACACTGAATCTAATTCATCAAGGTTTATGGTTAACTTAAACAAAATTGTGCTATTCTCAATCAAAATTTCTTAATCGTTCTCTCTCTCTCTCTCTCTCTCTCTCTCTCTCTCTCTCTCTCTCTCTCTCTCTCTCTCTCTCTGTCTCTCTCTCTCTCTCTCTCTCTCTCTCTCTCTCTCTCTCTCTCTCTCTCTCTCTCTCTCTCTCTCTCTGTCTCTTTCTCTCTCTCATTTCGTCAGAAAATGGGTTCATTCAACCAAACATATTTTCCGTGTAGACTTGAATAAAACGATAAGACACGATGAGTCTCTACGCGAATTCTATCATACTCTAACAATTAAATATTCTCCTAACGATAGAGTACAATAGAGTACGATGAAAAGTGTTCATCGTATTCTATCTTTACGCGATATCATTTTTTTCGGATCCGATGCAGCAAAACGATAGATTGCGATAGAAAACGATGAGAATCTCTGTAGATCTCATCGCTCTCTATCGCTTTCTCCTTTTCGATGTTTTCCTTGATCAAAGAACTTTTGAATCTTGAACTTTACAATTTAATTTGAGCTATCTGTGGTACCTCATAACATAATCTCATAATTGTAATCGCGAATATTCAGCGGTCATATCGGCGCGAGCTTAGACGCGGTGCGGCGGGATGTAGGAGCGGCGAGGTAAGGACATAAATATTGGCGCGTCGTCCTTCCTCTCGCCGCGCGCCGGCAACAGTTCCTTTGTCGACTGGGCAGTGCTCTTTAGCCTGAGCGGCTAGATGCTCCTCCCATAACGTCTCGACGTGTACTCATTCCTCAGATTTCTGTCATTAATAAGTCGATAATTATTGCGAATCTCACAAAACGATATGGGACTTTTATATTTGTCTTAACCCGCCTTATGTC